AGATAACCACAGGGCCCACTTCCCATCTTCCTCAAGTCTTTGTTCAAGTGCCATCTTCTCAATATGGCCTTCCCTGACATCTCCATTTAAAATTGCAACCAACTTGCCCTCTCCACATTTCTCCTCCACAGCACCTATTAATATCTGATACACCATGTTTTAGCTCTACTCTGCATGTGTTTTCCCACGAATAAATAAGCCCCAGGAGGGCAGGGACTTTTCTGTGTTTTACTCTCTACTGTATCTCCAGCATGTAGAACAATACCTGGCACATCCAACAAGCCCTTAACAAACATTTGCCAAAGGAATAATGAGTTAATGAATAAATCTGTAATTACCTATGAATGTAAACAGAGGGGAGAAACGCCTTTACCATGAGTTCAGGAAATAGCATCCTTGTCCCTCTTCTCTCTCCTGCCTTTGAAAAGCCTAGCAATTGGGAGGAAGTTCTCATAGCTCCTTATTAAGCCCGCATTCCTCGCCTCCCAGCCTTCATGGGAAAGAGGACAGACTAACTTCCAAGAACCACGGATTGATCCCGTGTGGATAAGACAAGTCACAGGGAACAGATACCAGTCTGTAACTCCAAGTGTCATCTGTAGGATCTCAGACTCATGCAAGGACATAGGAACCAGGTAGTCCGATGGGGACGTGGAAGGAAAATCCAATTTATTCCAAAGTATGACTGAAACTGGATACAGATGACTACAAATTTTACTAACTATATGCCTGATCCAGGTCAGCTGGTGCACATTATCACTCTGGCGCCATAAGGTAACCGTAGCTTCCTGCCATCTATTTGTCAAACAAGTTCTGAGTATGTTCTATGACACCCAGGGCATGTGAAGGAACACTGAAGGAAGATGAGCAGACACATTCCAGAGTCTCATGGACCTCGGAACCCAAAGTGTTCTCTGTAGGTAGCACAAGATCAGAGGTACTTAAGTAAGAGAACGGCAAGTTTTCATCAACTCAGAGATGTGATGCTATTCCTTCAAAGTGTTCATGCATAACCCACACAAGCAAAATCTCAATGAGGCAAAAAGTGAATCGCTGTTTGTCATTTAACAAACATTAGCTATGTGCAGCTGGGAGAAGGCAACTTAAAATGGAGCCAACGGACCTCTGAGGAGTGAGGAAGACTCTCAGAAAGCACCCAGAATTGCCAAAAGCCAGTAAAATTCATAAAAACCCCTTCCACCACAGTATCTCTGAGCATCACAGGCGGTCATAACAGATGCAGCAGGCAAACCTGCAAAGCTGCAGAAACAGCACACTTCCAAGAAATGTCTGCCTCTGCATGAGTTTATCAACAGCAAGTGAGAAAAGAAATAGCTCCAACTACAGAAAATCACATGAAACACACTGGACTTGCAGAGCAGAGCTTTTGAGAAACTGCAGACAGGGGCAGTAAACCTCTGCAATCTGCTTATTAGTCTTGATACAAGAAGACGGCTGACTGAATCAGCAGACAACATAAACCACAATGATAAAGAGAAATAAGACACAGATCAGACTCAGAAGCAAGTCAGTGCCCTCAGTCACACTCCAGCCCAGGTGAAGAGGGTGAGAAGTCAGCACCTGAGTCACAGCAACATTTGTTGAGTGAACAGCATTGATCAGAGGGTGGACATATCATACTAGAGAAGGAACATTTATAAGATTTAGAAGAAATAAATTAAATTAGTAAGTACAGGGGAGAGTTTGAGAGTTTAGTAAGTACAGGGGAGAGTTGAGAAGACCTTTGGGAGAGACCATTCACAGAGGTAGCAGCAGCCAGCAGAACCGTAGACTGTTTGCATTCTTTCCACCACAGGAAGGAGGAAGTCAAGAATACAGTTCGAGTTTGACCAAGCAGAATTGACGACTGGGTAGACACTAAATTAAGCAGGGGTGACCACAGGTGGCCTCGACAATAGGAACCCACCCACTTATAATAATTTATTTTAATGAGAAAAGCCACATGCAAATGAAGTTAATAGTAATCAACAGCAGAGCAACACAAGGTCACAGGGAGGCATTTAGGAGAGTCCATGCAGCAGAAAAGAGATGTGAACTGGAGTGAAAGCTTTGACATTGTATATAAAAAGGTTCAACAGAGCCCACATGCTTGAGAGAGCTTATTTCTACTGGGTACACCTGAATGTTCTTCTACTGGTTTGGGTGTAACTGGTGCCAAGAAGTCTCATGTATTTGTTGCACCACTGAATAGAAGGGGTGTTGGACCTGGAAGCAGGGTCTCCCCTTCCCTTAGGTCTCTGTGTGAGCAAATACAGCAGTCAAGGAGCAGTGGCAAGGGAAATCAACAGTTATATGTGCAACATACTGGTGCGCAAGTGGTAATGCTCAAAGAGTGATTTTTCTGTACGCAGAAACATACACATATGTATCCATATATTTGTAATACTAAGTTGGTCAGTCATTCACAGTTAAGTGGTGTGTGTTCTGGTTAGCCCTGAACCCAGACAACAGGGTAGCAAGAGACCTTCAGTAAACACAAGTTCAATGACTGGCAGGCTGGGTGTGAGTCTGCAGCCCTGCGAGGGTTTCATAGGCTCTGCAGCTTGACCTCTTCACTTCCTCCTTCCTTGTGCAGCAAAACTAGAGAGGGGAGCCAGATCGCTGTCTCTTTGTGTGACTTCCACACCTACAGTCCACAGGTAACTGGAGAGAGAAGGGAATTTGAAGAGAGCACCCCTGAGAGCAGGTATCATGGCACTTTTTTCTCATTTCCCCAGTGCTGCACAGTGCTTGCTATATAGTAGATGCTCAGTTAATAGACAGTGAAAGAATGAATGAAGGAACAAATGGACTAATGCAAGAATGACAAGGGTTTCTTCAGTGGTGCTCCTGCTTGCTTCAGTGCCACCGGAGCCTTGGCTAGAGAGGACCGAAGATCACACCAATATCCTCCAATGCAACATTTCTCCTTTTAGGCTTTCAATGCATTTGTCACATCATTTAGGTGAGTCCACACATATAATTGAAACACATCACTCTCAAAGCCCTGCCAGGGACACCAGCCACTGAAGGGCCGGTGCTGTAACTTCTAGAGGCACCTGGCTAATCTGAGTGGCACAGCCTCAAGGTAACCTTCATGTCTCAGATGAGAAGTGACTGCACTTGTCAACCCTGTCTCCCTTCCTTCCCTCCTGCCACCTCCCATAGCTGCTAAGCATCCCAGTGTCCTCCAGGGTTTCTGGGTCACATCTAACCCCTGGGCTTGCTGGGAGCACGCTGTTCCTTGGAACTTCTTTGCTGCTGTTTCGAGCTTTAGCATAATAGCCTGTGACTCTTCTGCAAAGCATCAGTGCTGCCTTGCTCAACCTGTATGGGAATGGGTCCAGGTTAGCAGTGGACATTTACTTAAGAACCTACTTGTACAGCTCTACACATCCTTGCTCTTTGGACATTACAATTGGTTGGCTCTCTCCTGGGACATACCATTTCCTTTCCCTCCAGTGTAAATTATATCCAGGGCTCCTTCTCAAGAGTGTTTTATAGAAGCCACTGTGTGCCACACCTAATAAGTTTTATACAGGTAGAACCAGGTTTAAAAGATCAAAAGAAGAACAGAAGGAAACAGAGAGCACCTTAAGGTAAAGATGGATGGTAGGGGTTACACCTAAGAGGGATGATCATTCCAAAGTCATCTGCCTTGGAGTGGGCTGACTGCACTCAGGAAAAGGCACAGTTCTTTGTAAGCACCGGCCCAGACCACTTGGCCTACCTAGGCTCCAAGTACATCAAACCACACACCTACCCTTACCTCTTTTTGTTTGTTTGTTTGTTTGTTTGCTGTCTGTAGGTAGGTCTCACTCCATCACCCAGACTGGAGTATAGTGGCACCACAGCCTCAAACTCCTGGACTCAAGTGATTCTCCTGCTTTAGCCTCTCGGGTAGCTGGGACTACAGATGCATACCCTCACATCTGGCTAATTTTTATTTTTATTTTTAGAGATAAGTTCTCATTATGTTGCCTAAGCTGGCCTGAAACTTATGGCTTCAAGCAATCCTCCTGCCCCAGCCTCCCAAAGTGCTAGGATGACAGGCATGAGCCACCACACCCAGCTACATCTCATTTTTGAACTTAGAATCTTCACCATACCTTTGATAACTTATTAACACCAGACTCTGAAGCAGAAGAGGCTTCATGGTCACCTTGTCTACCTTCTGTCCCCATACAGGAATCCCCAACACCCCTGACAGGCATCTAGACAGCCTTGTCTTGTGCACCAACTCAGAATCTTCCAGACATGTCTGATGTATGAATTGCCAGGGGCACTTGTAAAAAGCACAGTTCACCAGACATACAAAGCTATATGAAATCAGGCTCTCCAGAGAAAATACCAAGGAACCTGAATTTTTAGCAAGCATCCCTGGTGAGTCTTACAAAGTAGCATGTTTCTTACACGGATATAATGCTATAGTTCTTGACAGAGGCTGCATAGTAGAGTTGACTAGGAAGCTTTAAAAAATAACAAGTCAATGACAGGCCCTCAACCCCAGATATTCCTACTTAATTAGTTTGGGATGGAGCCAAGGAGGTATAATTTTTTAAAGCTCCCAGCTTATTCCACGGTGCAGCCAGGGTTAAGAATTACTATAACAGCTTCTCAACATTATGGTAAGCTCTTTGAGGATAGCAACCAAGAAATCTTCTTGTGGTTAGGACTCCTAGCTATCCCCCACAACTGTGTCAAACCAACACACTCCATAATTATTACGTTAACCTGATTTAACTAGTTTGTTCACCCAGCCAATAGCAGGTGCAATTTCCTAACTGTATTAAGAAACTGCCCTTCAATCAGCAAGAAGCCAGACAAAAAAGAAATAAGAACCACTAAGACGTCTCATGGCTGAGTCTCCGCATCCTATTCCAACATCCCTATATCCGCTGCTCTCCTTGGCCCCAGACTAACCAGACCAAACAAGCTCAGAAGCCTTACTCTAGGTTCCTTCCCTCCTCCTCCCCGCCCAAACCCCCAGTTCTACTCACATTGTACAGCACGGTGGTCCACCCTTCCATGGTAATGCACTGGAAGACAGTCAGCACGGCGAAAAGGATGTTATCAAACTGTGTGATCCCATCATTGGGGCCGATCCAGTCCTTGCATTCGTAACCAGCCGGGCAGCCCTGCACGCCACACGGGTGAGGGGGGTCAAACCCTTCTAGAATACCTGCAGACACATTTGGAGGGTGGGAACCAATCACACAGTGTTTCCTACGAGCTAGAAATGACCCCAGGAAACCCCAGGCACGTCATTCTCTTTCCCACAGAAAGAGGCTTGCCCTTCCTCATGCGCCTCTCCTCTCCAGTCTCTCCACCCCTCCCTGCTCACACGCCATGTGCTCAACTCAATGTGTCCCAGACTTCTGTGAAAATAGAGCCTCCCCTCTGCATGGTCTCCACTTGCTTCAGGCTTTATCCTCTCCCCTCACTTCATCCTATAGTACCACAGGGATTGACAGGACCACATCACACAGAAAACTCTACAGTGAAGGGAAAGTGGAGTTTTCTAACTTGAGACCCAGGATAAGACCTAGATTATTCCTGTGTTTCTTGGGGACAGTGCCTTTAGTGGATCTTAACTCCTTGTTTTTCCAGCATGGATTCCTGGTCTTGAAAAAAAGGTAAAAATAAAAAACAGAAATCCAAGGTAGCAGATGTCCTTTGAAGACTCTTTTCATAAAAAACATGGTCCCTATTTGGGATTCCTCAGCCTGTCCCCCATCCCCTGTCCTCCCAGAATACTCTACTCAGCTTGAAAAGCACAGGACACAAAGAGATGAGAGCCTGAGGTTTGTGTACCCCACCAATCTCCCAAACACATTTGCCAAGCCAAGCTCAGAGGTCCCTCAGTTCTTCTACCTTCCATGTAGGTCAGAACAGAGTTAGGAAGAACGAGAGAAAGAGCCTGGAGGGAGCAGGTCTCCACAGAGCTGGAGGGATCCAAGTATGACTCTGGACTCCTTGGTCTTTCCAAAGTCATCGTACAAAGGGTATTTATTCAGACAGATGGCTTCTTCCTTTTTTTTAGAGATGGGTTTCTTTGTGTTACCAGGCTGGCCTCGAGTTCCTGAGCTCAAGTGATCCTCCCACCTCAGCCTCCCAAAAGTAGCTGGAACTACAGGTACAGTGCCACCATGCCTAGCTCAGATAGATCACTTTTGAAGTATTCTGATAGCCCTCTACCATGGGATGGGACAACTGAGACAGTCTATTTCACATCTTCCAACTACCTATTTGCTTTACAATGTCAAGTGTGGATCTCTAGCCTAGGATGGTTGTGCCTCAAAAGGCTGCTGACTAGGAAGTTTCTGATTTCTAACTCCAGGGATGGGATAGGACATACTTTTCCAGCCAGCCTCCAAATGCCCTAAAATTACCCCAGTGAACAAAGGGGAAAGGAAGGAAGAAAAGAGAAGACAAAAAGAGTGACCATACCTGAATTGTTCATGAAGCACGCTCGATGTAACTTTCCACTATAGAACTCCAAGCCGATGATAGCAAACATCAGGATGGCAAAAAAGAGCAGAAGGCCAATCTGCAGAAGAGGTACCATGGCCTTCATGATGGACTTCAACACAATCTGCAGGCCTAGAAGGAAGAACAGAGGATGACTGATGCAGCCTCCCTCAGCACCATCTGACAGGGCAGGGTTTACCTTGTCCTGGGAGGAGAAGGACAAGCCTTTGGGGAAAAAGAACCATTGGTCTTAGGATGACAAAGATAATTCCCAAAGAGATAATCAGGACATGTCAAGCCAAAGACTGCCATGACCCCTTCCCCCAGGGAGTAGTCCCTCTTCCTCACCAGGCTCTGACCAGGCCTACTACCCTTCTTTCATTGGTCTCAACCATGTTGTCTTCCGTATTCCTCTGAGAGATTACATTTATTAGAATGTGTTCCTTTCTGAAAGAAAAATAGGCCTATCCGTGCTGCTGCAAATCCTACAAGAGCTGGGACAAAGTTCATCTTCCCATTTGCCTTATCTGAGACCCAGCTCTCTCATCCACTGTTGGAGGATCACAATTAATATAAGCACTATTCAAAAAATGCCACAGCCTTTGACCCAGGCATTGCACTTATAGGATTCTAGCCTAAGGAAGTAGTCAGAGATTTGAATAAAGGTTTAGGTAAAAAAAAACACATTTATAGTTGGAAAACACCTGGAAATAACCTATTTTTATTTTTTCTGTTGTCCATCAACATAAAAATGGCCAAATAAGTCATGACACATATAAGAAATTTTAATATTAGGAAAGTAAAATGCTTGTTTCAGGATAGAAAACTACATATACATAATGATTCCAATTATATATTATATTAAAATGAACAGGGGAAAATGAATGAAAAAATATTATTTCTGAGTTATGGGAAAAAGAGTACTTTTTCTTTATTGATATTTTATTTTCTACATTTTTCACAAAGACCTCTCATTACTTTTTTTTTTTTTGAGTCCGGGTCTCACTCTGTTTCCCAGGCTGAAGTGCAGTGACACAATCGTGACTCAGTGCAGCCTCGATCTCCTGGGCTCAGGTGATTCTTCCACCTCAGCCTCCCAAGTAGCTAGACTACAGTAGGCCTGTGTTACCACACTTGGTTCTTTTTTTATTTTTTTTAATTTTTTTTTGAGTTGGAGTCTCACTCAGTTGCCCAGACTGGAGTGCAGTGGCCACT